TGTGTGTATGTGGAGAGAGAGAGGTGGGGTTCCATAAAAAAAATGCTTATGGAGCAGGAGAAAAGTTAAAACCACAGCTTCTGTCTGGAACATTGAGAAATAAAAACAGGAGTTTCTTTAGAAGTGAAATCTGCTATTATGCAAAAACAATGGGCCCAAGGTAACTGGAAAGGGAAGCTGACACATGTGCTTTTTTTATTTATACAAAGAGAAACATTATTAACAGAATTCAGAAGAACTCATTGATACTATTCTTTTGGAATGCAATCAGGGTAGATTACATCAGGCTTGTTTATCTCACCAATAGTGTGACAAGATGGGACAGTTGACTCCTTACTCCCACTTGGGTTTAGCATAGGAGGCATGCTAAGGGAGTGGGATAGGTCCCAGAAAAAAATGAAGCCTCTTGCTTCTTGGTTTTATGTAATGTCTCTTTTTGGCCTGAAGGTTCTCCTGGAATCAAGAATTTTATTTTGAGTGCACTTATTAAGCCAATCACATAATTTATAAAAACAACTTCCAATATATTTTAACTTAAAATAATTAGTCTAGGCTGGATTTGCTGAGTATGCTGATTTTAAGGGAAACAATAATTTTCTACAAAAGTTTAGTTACTTATAGATTATAGGAGATGATTTTAAAGGGAAAGAATATCAAATAGTTGGACTTTAAATGTTTCTTTTCACTTTCAAACTGAAACACAGAAGATTATTTTTTTTCATATTTCATTTATTTTTATTGCTCTCTTATATTATCTAGGACCAGTAATATACTCAATGACAAAGGTGACACTGGGCACCCTTCTCTTGTTTTTAACTTTAACATGTTTCTGAAGTTTTACTTTAAGAATGATGCATGCTCTACATGCCATGATGCTAAATTAGCAGAAGACTATTTTTAATAAGAGATAAAGGTGATTTCTGAAGGTCATGAGTAAGGAAGCCAGACACTTTCCTGATAGTAGTCTACTTCTTGTTCTCCACTAAATATAACATGGGAAGAGCTCAAATAGGGTTGGGACCAAATCTGGAAAAAAACAACACTCCAGCTTCTTGGTTGTATGTAATGACTCTCCTTGGCCCGAAGATTATAAATTCTCAAAAGAATAAGGCCTCTAATTAATGAGGAACATATATTGAAAATTTAATAGCTGCATACTAACAGGAGTGACAACATCAATAAGCAAGCACTGACTGAAAAAATGGAGCTATTTCCTTTGAAAATAACAATTTCAAGAGAACCATTGACTGCCAGGGTTGATGACCTATAATTTGTGAACTTGTAAAGACTATCTTAGATGCATGGTTTTTCTAAGAAAGCACCAAGTCACTGCTTTCATCTTGTGGATATTTCCAGACACAATAAATTTAAAATAGTATAATAACATGAAAATAGTGTGTAGGGGTTGACTGAGGGGAATTAAAATGACAATTCTACACTAAGGGTACTGATGCTTCAAATGCTTTTAAATGTCTGATTATTAAAATATATTGGGAAACCTGTGTGGTTCATGATTATGGTACCTAGTCCAAAAGCCTGGAAGGTTTGGTCTTAGAAAAATATCACTGTGACAACAAAGGAGAAAAAATTTGGTAGCAAAGATCAGTACCATTAAGATCATGCCACTAACAAAAAGGGTTTGAGAAGGTGAAAAGTAAAAGAGTTGAAAGCAGTTATTTTTGTCTCCGATAAATAGCTTACTCTCAAATCCATTAAACTACTTTTTATTTCTTAGAATAGTGAAGAGAAATATTCTCATAATTACTCTGAATTTATCCCAAGCCAATGTTTAAAATTTTCCCAGCATTCTGAAGCCTGGAATACTGACAATTACAATGACTCTATAAAAAAGGGAGAATAAAAAAGGGAGTGGGGAAAAAAAGCCAAATAATGATGGTAATGACAGATACATAAGGCATGATATAAAATATGGTCTTCCTGACTTCCCTTTTGGACACCAATATTATTCCAATTTTATCTAAAATAACAGAAGTATACTTTCTAGTTTTAATTTATGTAGCCAAAGAATTGCTATGTTAACTGTACATGTGACCTCTGATAGGTAACAGATTATGTAAAAGAAAAAAAACAAACAATAAAAATCAGTGCTCTGTAAGGAAGAATTTTAACCTGTTCAGTAAAATAGTATGTGAGCTTTTAAAAATGAAAAATGAGGAAACATGCCTAACTTCTGTCCAAGATTCTATTAGAATTTAAATTAGCAGAATATACCTTGCAGTTGAACCTTCAAGATGAAAACCACACATACTGCACAAATCAAATATTCTGCAACATACTGATGTATTTATGAGATATAATTTGTATCATGGACAACAGTATATGCCCAGATAAGGCATAATGTTTATCTCTGATATTTTCTAAAAAAAAAAAAACAACAAAATAACAAAACCAGTTTAAAATGTAACCCTAACTACATTTTTTATCTTCATTTTATAGAACTGTTTATTTTATGATTTGACAAGAATTTTGGAGTAAAGAAACTTACGTAGTTCCCCAGCTGCATTGCGCCCACCAACTGCATACAGATATCCTTTGAGGGCACTTAGGTGGAAGAAGGTGCGCTTTTCATTTAAAGATGCAACTTGCATCCATTTATTGTATCGAGGATCAAACCTGAAGACTGTATCAACAGCGGTTTTTCCTTTTGTGTCATAATTACTCTGTCCACCAACGACATAGAGGAAATTTCCAATGACGGCAATGCCGTGCTGGTACCTTGGGGCATCCATAGGGGCTAATGATTTCCATTCATGGGCCTTTTCATCATACATGCGCAATTCCTTGCTGACAACCAGCTGCTGCCTCAGCACTCCTCCTAGTGTAACCAAATGAGTGGTGTCAGACCGAATGGCAGTCCTGTCTGACTGCATAACTGGCTGCATATACGGCATCATTTGGTAATTGCTGGCTTCCAAAAGAAGATTCACGCAAGTATTGTCAGTTCTCATGAAATCTACGGTTTGCACGTAATTAATGAGCTCTTGTGGTGTCATCAGTGGAAATCGTATGTTCTTCATTAATTTTGGAGCAAAGTCCATCCGAGGCTCTTCTAGGCGTAGCCAGCGACAGGTAGCCTTAAAGAGCTCAAGTTCAGTGCAATGCTTAAGGCTATTACTGGAAAGCACAAAGGCAAGACGCTCAAAAGGGAGTTTCAAGAACTCCCCAGTGCTCAGCAATGCAGGAAAATTCTTCAAGACGAAACTGTTAACGTATTTATCCACTTCTGTCAGATTGTAGGTGTTGGCAATCCGTCCAACTTCAACACAATTGTCTAAAGTGACCTATTAAGCCAATAAAAAAAAATTAAAACAGAGCTACTTTCAAGACACTCACATCTGGATAACATAAATACCTGTTCTAGAAGAAAAGTAAATTATGCTTTTTACTGTCCATATAGATGCAAATAAAGATTCTTACCTAAATACATTAATGATCTAAAGAGAATTCACAAACCACCTTTACCTAATCAAATAGAAGGGTGACTAAGAGAATATAATCATTCAAAATTAGAAGGTTAGAAGTTATTCTAAGAAATAATGTTACTACTTGACAATGGCCAAAATAATTACAGTAAGTCCTCAATATCATCAGTAGGTTCTTTGAACTGTAGTGAAACAACAAATAATGAAAGTAATTTTACCACAGGCTAATTAATATGAACAGTTCAATTCTTACTGCATCTCATTAACATTATAATGAAACAATGTTATTCAAGGACCTACTGTACTTTTCTCTCCTTAAAAATGTGTGTTCCTCCTCCCCTCCCACAAGAAATACTAATAAAATTCTGGCCAGATGGAAATTTTGAAAAAATAGAGGGTTATTCTATTATGGTTCATCTCAATCCTCTTCTCAGTCATGAGTCTTAAAAGTAACTCAGCTAGCAGATCCACTAACAGAAAAGCTCTAATATCTGATTCTTAGATTTCTCTTTCATGTGAACAGGCTTCATTCATTGTTATTCCTTCATTCATTACTATTTCATTTTGATTCCTTCAAAAGTTATTGCTTATAGTAAAAATAATTCAATAGGACAATTATTCCTAGAACAATTTTATTTTCCACATTATTTACCTGGAAATATAAGCAACACAATCACTTTCATGAGGGTTGGAATAGGTGTGTGTACATCAAATTACTGATGGAGTTTCTGGTATCTATGATATGCCGTGTAGTTTACCTTAGCCACTGTTCTTACTCTCAGCATTGCTCTAGCTCTGCCTGGAGTCAAAATGAGCCCAGAAAAATTTCTCCAGCACAGAGGAAAATATGCCAAAACTGGAAACCAGGAAAAGGAAAGAAGCTATGGAGAGGATCCTCTTCTGCAGGAGCTCTTTTCAATATTCTAATAACTGACTGGTCAAAAGAGAAAAATTGTATTACCAGTGGGGAGAGGCCCTTGTCCCCAACCTTTTGCTCATGGGGGTGGATTTCTTGCGCTATCCCGAGAAAAATAATTTTCTGATACTCACACAGGAGAGCAAGTGATTTTTATTTGCATGGAATTAAATCCCCGAGTTTCCAAGGTCCCATTTTCCTTTGCCCCACCATAGAAGTGTAGCTGTGGCTTCAGCAGAGCTAAAATCAGAGCCAGTGTCCAGAATTTCCTTTACATACTTGAGCGGTATCTAGTTCAGCATCAGGCTAGCTTAGTTTGTGTTCCCCGCTGTAGTCCATTAGTCCATTGCATATGGGGTCCGCATGGCCATGGGCCACATGGGCGAATGCAAGAGAGCCAAGAGCAACAAGAGCCAAGAGCAACAAGGGAGTGAACTCCTTTGTCTATGGGTTATGTATTCCCAAATTTTCACGAGCTCTCATGGGGGTCCACCCTCCTAGTCAATATTTTGTTCCCAGGTTAGACTGATAGGGAAGCACCTTCCCTATGTCACCCCAACTTCATTGCATATGTATTCATTTTCCCCTTTGTTGGACCCCTTCTCCCAGTGATTTTCAGGAAATGGGCCAGTGGTTCCCTGGGGAGTATAAAGCTGCAGCTTCCTGGTGAAGCTGCCCAAATGACCATGCTTATAATGTCTGGCCTTCCTTTTGCTCCTTTCCTATTATTAATAACTAGCTAGTTACAATGGTATCAATATCAGCAAATATTATGCAAGGAAGAACTCAAAACACAAGCCTACCATACAAATGTCTGGGTGTATATACAAACAAAGAGATAGGTCACAGGCAAAGTATTCAAATGTTTTTTAATTTAGTCAGGGTGTCTGTTCACAAACGTCACATAAACCTCATTAATGCAACTGTATGGTTAACAGACTGGCATTCGGTTGAGAGAAAATTGGCTAATCCTTCTATTATCCTATTATTTAAAAGCTGAAATGAGACTAAAATCATTATTCCTCTGTATAAAATAACAGCCTAGTTAAGATATACCACTGAAAGCTCTAATGTTAATACACACACACAACACATATTTATTGCTCAAGAATTTGAACTCTTTTAAGCAGCTGATTTGATTTACTGAAATTGCCAAAAAGTTTTAATTGCTTGTTATACTTAATAGGTATGTATTAAAAAATACCTGAAACAGCCCAGCCGCCGTGACTCAGTGGTTAAGCATCTACCCATGAACCAGGAGATCACGGTTCAATTCCCAGTCAGGGCACATGCCCCGGTTGTGGGCTCCATCCCCAGTGGGGGGGTATGCAAGAGGCAGCCGATCAATGACTCTATCATCATTGATGCTTCTTTCTCTCCCTCTCCCTTCCTCTCTCTGAAATCAATAAAAACATATTTTTTAAAAATACCTAAAACATACTTGTAACACAAGAGAACTAGAAAAAATAAATCATTTATGGAACTTTTGAAATACTTCAACACTGTTTAATACCTTCGATTTCTAATATAGTTAATAAAAAGTATATTTTAATCCAATTTTAGGAGTGGCAGGTTGGTGTCTCGTAAAATTTTTACTTGTGTAAATGAAGTTACAGTTAAGATCCAATTGCCCAAGCCACCTAAGGTAGAAGAGATTCCTATTTAGAGTAATGGATCTACTTTCTGAGACAAGTAAGAAATAGCCCTCCCCCAGAGCAAGGGTAATTTGCATTTTTATACACATTTACTACTACAATTAAGCAAAAATTGGTAACAATGCAAAAATAATTCCCAACTGTGCAGATTCTCATCATTATTGATATGGTTGCAAATATAAACAACAAAAAATGTGTACTTTACATAGGCAAAATGATACCATCAGTTGTTACCAAATTTAAAGCATATAAAATAAGCCAAGATGAAAGATTAGAAACCAAACTGTATAATTTATAAATAGGATCAAAGTATTTAGTTCCTTCCCCTTTTCTCTCTTCAACTTTATCCAATAAGAAAATAATTACTAAAATAACAGGATACAGAAACCTACCTTTTATTTAAGGGCATTTGGAAAATATGAATATGCTCAGATACTGATGCACAGAACTGGAAAAGACTTTGACAGACCACCTAGTCAGTACAGATAGCTGCCTACTCTTTTCTTAGAAATCACCAGAGAATGGAATTTCAAAACGTTCCAACTTGTCATCTTCTTGATAGATAGACTAAGCAGTTTCTATAGCTTGTGTACAACAGCTACCACACTGTGGCATATAACAAAGGTTAAATACTATGATTATAAGCAATATAAAAATTAAAGATGTGATGATAGATACAACTAAAAATAGAATATTGTTGAATTAACAGTAAATTACTAGGACCTTATTAATTTAAAAAAGAGACTCAAATAAAAATATGTAATAGGAAATTAATTTTTTGAAGTGCATGTGATCAAAGATAAAAAGTTAATCATAGACTATAAAGATTATAGAAGCAAAGTCTAAAATAATACTTAAAATAATAGTTAATATAAGCAGATAAAAATGATGGCATAATGATAAAGAACTTTTGGAAAAATACAGGATTATTCAATGATGGTTCATTTCAATCCACTTCTTAGTCATGATTCTTAAAAGTGCTTCAGCTAGCATATCCCCAAACATTTAGTCTAGACTGGCTTAAAATAATGGACATGTGCAGTAACATAAACATATAATGTAAGTCATGTATATATTAGAATACATTACATTTTCAAAATATAAAGTTTAAAGCTTGTTTTAAAAATTCATAAGTAGAAAGAACTCTAATTTCATCTGAGCATATAACCTGGCCAAAATTCCAGAGTTATTATGAAAGCTAATTCAAATAATCACATTAGCATTTTAAAAGATAAAGAAGCAAAAAGGAACAAAAATTCTCAACCACTTATGAGAATCAATAAAATTCATTTTAAAATAATCAAGTGCACACTTAAGTTTCCTTGATATAAATTATTCTATTGTAATCAAACAACCTTCATGATCATACTAAAGGCAGTTCCAAGTATCATAATTTTCAATGTGGCATTTTCATTAACATACTGGTACTCATTGCTGCTATATTAAATTCAAATTAAATAAAATGTAATATACTTTAAATTAAATTTAAGTAACCTATCCTAAATTAAAATTAAAATAACACCCAATTCACCCAAACACTGTCATTAACATAATTTGATATTTTAATCACAGGTTTCATCAGAAACCTGTGATGTTATTTTGTTGAAGATCAGTATCTTATACAAATAAATTACCATTTATGGGAAAAAAAACACAAAGCAAAAGTAAACAAGTATCAGCTCTGGCCGAGCATCTCAGTTGGTTGGAGCATCATCCCAATACTCCAACGTTGTAGGTTTGATCCCTGGGCAGGGCACATTCAAGAGTCAACCAATGAATGCATGAATAATGTGGAACAACAAATTGATGTTTCTCTCCCTCCTTTCCTTTCTCTATCTAAAATCAATCAATCAATAAAATTTTTTTTCAAAAAAGTAAATAAGTATCTGCTTTTGTCCTCTCAAGGGAAATGCAAAGACTAAGAAATTAATTGGCAAATTTTGGGGGACTCCTCAGACTCTCAATGCACCAAATTCTCCTCAGTGCTGTATAGTTTATTAAAATGAAAGTCTGACATCAAGCACCTCTAATGCAGAAAGAGAAAGCATGTCCATAGAAAAAGACTGGGAACAAATCAAACAAGCTACTTTGGGGGTCAGAGGATATCTTCTTCTGGGCCTCCTTCCATAGGTAAGGACATCACAGGACATAGGGAAGGGACATTTGGGTAAGAAGAACAAAGGAATGATTAAAAAACAAAAACCTTCCTCCTCGTCTTTGTCTCTCTTCAGAGTCTAAAAGCCACTTGAGTTGGATATTGATAGTGGCTCAGTTGGTTGGGCATCATC